TAGTAGTAGTAGTCGTGGTGGTGGGGTCGCGTGTTGTTCTCAGTCGTTCCTGATGTTTGCCAAACTTGTTCGCCGTAATTTTCCGTTGCGAATCCGTCCACATCCGTCTTGAGACTTCCTTTGCAGCACACGCGTCAGATGACCCCTTGTCCAAAGGCCTACCAGCGTAGCTTGGGAGCTGCAGGAACTTCACGTCTTGGTGCCGTGCCTGGGCCGTCTGCATGCGGGTGAGGGTGAGCCGCAACCTGGCTGAGGTCGGTTCTCACAACACGCTGCGATGGCTAGACGAACCGCTGCGAGGCGAGGCGGCAGTTGGAGCTTGTGAGTTGATCGTGTTGGAATCTTCAGAAAGTTGCACGTATTTATCTGTCCAATCGCCGACAGGTCTCACAGCAGGCATGGCTGCACACTATCCTTTGGATGACACGGGCCACACGTGGCGGCTGAAGCTTGACAAGCTGGACTGCACTCAGGGCTGAGGGTGTTCAAACAAATCTGTACCTTGCAGACGGAGCTGGCATGCTGCTGGTTTCACTACTCACACCGAAAGCGCTCAAATTTCCGAGTGCACCCTGAACTCATCGTGGCAAAAGCACAAGCAAGGGAAGGAGAGCCGGTTGACAGAAACGCAAGTCTTGCTTGGAGCATGTAGAAGAGACAGCAGTGATGATCGAGAGCATGCTAAGATGTATAAACTTTTGTGGAAAGGTTGCAGGCGGACACGAAAAACTCTTCCCGAGTGGTTTGTGCCAGTTAGATGCGGATGACCAGGTTGGTCTGAGTGTCGGGGCTGGTAGGTGCCACAATCACAGTCGAAAAGAGAAGAAGGTGCAAGCAAACGAACGACGGCGAACAAGTGTGGGAGGGAAGAGTGAGAATGTGTTGGAAGCATCTCCACTGGCCAGTTCGCTGTGAAGGAGGACGGCCAGCGGTTCTGGTTTGGTGGTGAGGTTCCCGTGGAATTTGTGCCGGAGTCCGAGAAGTTGAGTTGGAGTGCAAGCTGTACAAGTCTGCAAACAGCTGTAATATATAGATCAAAGCCCCAGCAATACGTATGAATGACCGTGGGCCTTGACTGACTCCCATTCGTAAACAACAGTATCCCTGAGGTTAACCTGCCATTAGACCTCACATTGGCCCCAATGGTGGCAGTAGTCTTCTGTTTCATGTTCACCCCAAAAAGAGTCGTTATAGATCCACGCTCTAGTTCATACGGATTAAAATGCTATGTCCACTGCATTATAAATCTCTTCAACTCCCATATTGACCTGAAGGTTAATATAATAATAACATACATCACTTTGATTGGCCCGCGACCCCGATAGTAAGGTTATTGCAGTCCCCTTGGCAACCCTGATTTTGGACATGACTCCAAGATGGACCTTACTGGCAAATAAGCTGTTCGCATTGGTAACTTTCGTACTCTACCGGGTACTTCCTTCAACAGCAACCCAAACAATGGCTTTAGGAGAAACCCCGACCACTTGCCTCATATCAATCCAGTTGTAGCTGTGGGATCCCTAGCGCGAGCATGCAAGTCCCCGAAATTCAAAGTCATGGCATCCCTAAGGCTATTTACTGCTAGTATGAGTACAGGTAAGCTAAATACTTGCTTAACATTTAGCGCACCGGTAGCTGTCACATTCATGCAAATTTTAAACTGCACAAAACGATACCCATGCAGAGCCGCGATCCTTGCTGTCTTCGCTCTGGCGTTGCCCAAAGATGGCCCTTAGATTTTTAGGGATGATACCAGCATTGGTTTGTTTACCTCATCATTTTGTAAACAGCACCACCTTTCTCATTGTAGCATGTGATCATGTCGGACTTGTTGTCGACTTGCCCGTATGCGTGTATGTGCATTTATGTGTGTATATACACACGCCAACCCTAAGGTCAAACTTGTACTAGATACAACATAATGACGCGGATCGTACTACTGATTCCAAACAACGTCAACCCTGACCCTATCCTTGTCATTCGCCCTCATGTCAATGGTATTCGCGATAGCTGTGATAACCCTGATATCCTGGGTCTGGTCTGTGTTAAACCTGCAGTAGTAGCTCCCTACTTACCCCAAATCTGATCCGTATTGTCTAGCATTAATGCTAAGCGGAATCGAAGCCCAATAGTAATGACATTCGACGGACCTTATTGGCAACACTAATTCGTAACGCGCGCAAACAACAAATGAAGCTCATTTTTTTGCCAGGAAACATGTGTTTTTTTTGTGAAATACCAACTTTTCCCTACTAGGAAAAATTTTCCCAGGAAAAAGACGGCTTTGGACCAAAACCAACTTTCTTAGGGAAAACCAAAAACAACAAAGAAAACACATCTTTTGGGACACTATACGACCAGACTCCAAAATATATTTGTTGTGGTTTTCCCTAGGAAAAAATCGGTTTTCTGCCCAAGGATATTCTGGTTTTTAAACCAACTTTTTCCTAGGGAAAACTTTCTGGAGCCTGGCCGTATAGTTTCCCAAAAACTGTTTTTTTTGGTTTCTCTGGTTTTCTCTAGCACAAAGTTGATTTTTGATTGGAAGCGTACAGTGTTGCCCTTAAGTGCGTGCTCACGTCGAACCGAAACGAGCTGCTTGGCGGTCGGATTTTGATTGGAAGAGTACGGTGTTGCGGTTGAGTGCGTGCTCACCTCGAACCCGAACGAGTTGCCTGGCGCGTTCTCTTAAAATGTGAGTTTGGTTTTGGCAGTCTGTCAAAGATACGGAATCCGGACCTGCCGGAAAAGCTGGTTGAACACGGGATTTACGATACAAAACGAGGGTCGGTAGTTCATGGGGGGGGGGTTACCATCTATATATATATATATATAATTTTATATGTATCTGTTTCTATAAACATACACACGCACCAAGTATAATTAAAAGTGTGAGTGTATATATATATATATATATAAATACGCACGTATACTTAAAAGTGTATGTATGTGCAATATATATATATATATATGTATATGTACATACATACATACATACATACATACATACATACATACATACATACATACACATGTGTATGGGTTGCGTAGCCAGGTGCCACCCCGACTGCGCGCTTATCGTGGAACTCGTGGCCGTGCTCCGCGCACCTGGTGCGGCTGCACCACCTGTGCAGACCACACAGGCCTTGTTTCTAAACCTGCGGACCTCTACCCGGAAGTGCTTGATCGTGTGGAGGCCGCGGCGACACCGCTTCTGGCCGACCCCGGACAACCCCAGGATCTACTGCTGCGTCCCTGGTCATCTTTGGGAGCGATCCGCGAATGCTCAGAACCATGCCGAGGCAGAAACAGACACTGGGATGGTTGCTTCTGCTCCCGTTCTACCAAACGACGAGTGAGGCTAGTCTTGGCATATTTTGAAGTGACTCCAAATATCTCCGACTGTATTAGTGAGGGGCTGCTGAAAGCGGCCGCAGTGTCTGGTGAACGTCAGGAGCTTTCTTATACGCTGAGAGAGTTTGTGGAACAGAGATGCTGAGGGCAATGCAGCTTGAGGTCCCTGTTTGGCCTTCGATGTGCAGTTTTTCGGGGGGCCGGGCTTGTCCATGCTTGCCGAGGAGGCAGTTCCACCGTCCCTGGCACACCAAGTGTTCTGACACTGCTCTGCAGGTGTGGTCTGCAGCAGCTCAGGGCCCAACCACTATTTCGACCAGGCCAGTCCTCACCTCCTTGGACTAAATGGGTCGCAGTAGATAATCAGGCACAGCTTTGAACAAATTTAGCATGCACCTTCAGGCCAGCTGAGACTGCGAAGCCTAGCCGGCCGGCACTGTCAGCCAGATGCTGGGATAGCCATTGCCTGCAGACCTCACCATGGGCAAGGCTTTAAAGCCAAAGGCAAAGTCACATTCCGGTTGCCACTTTACTCCGTAAGCAAAATAACCAAAAGAGGAAGCCGTTGCCGACTCCCGACCAAGGCCAGCAGGATTTCATGCAGCTTTCAGCTTTGTGGCGACCGCCTGATACAGTCACAGCCTCGCGGACGCCATCAGACGCCTCTAATGCCTCCTACGAATGCTTTGGCAACTTGGTTCCACCTGCGTTGAGGTGGCTCCGGCAGCACATACCTTTGCCGAAACCGGAAATCCAGCGGCCGGCCTGCATGAAGTGCTCAGCAGAGCTTGAGCTTGGCGCTGAATTCCGAAGTTGTGCGCTGGCTCAGGGAACCGCCGCCCAAGCCAATGACCCTTCAGCCGTTGTGTCTCGCCTTTCGATGCCACGAGTCACACCACAATCATGCTTGGCAAAGAATGTCGAGGCCGTCGGTCTCGCCACAGACGGCACTGGCGGTGCCAGCTGCACAGGTTCGGTCAGGATGAGGGAAGTTCCGGGTGGCACAGTTGTGATGTCTCTGCCACCACCAGGGTCTTCCTTACACACCTCCGCAGTTGGCTCCAACTCAGCCAGCAAGTGCCTCAGCCTCAGCTGCACGGACTTAAGATGTGCGAAAGTATGTGACAATGCTCAGAGACAGTATGCCTCTGAGACGAGGCTCTGCCAGTGCCTGTGCAGGTGCCAGGGCAAGCCAAGGACTTAGCTGCAGCTTCTTTGAAAGGTCCCAAAGAGAACGGAGCTCCTTCGCCGAGGGCCTGGCTGTTTATCAGCCAGCTCTGGCACCTGCTTCGATGGTGGTCCCAGCACCTGCACCAGCACCAGCACCCGTGGTGGAGAAGATCTACCTGCGAGATCAGGCGGTGCAGAGCGATCCACCAGCGATTCAAGGCTGGGCTAAAGCATGCCTGGATGAGTGTTTGGGGTCAGTGATGATGCTGTGCCCGAGACTCACTGAGGTGTCGACGACAACTTCATCGGTGATGCCAAGCCCAAAGCATCCTCCGTGGCCACTGAAACCGCCCCTCCCGCCCGGCCACTCAGCGCCGTGGACAAGGCCAACCTGCTGCAAGGCAGGCACTCATCTCATTTGATTTCAACTTCAGGTGGTCAAGGCTTGTTCACATCGGATACCTAGCGCTGACTTCCTGCGAGGCACCGGCGGTGCTGGATTCAAGCCGCCCGGGCCATCCGTGCCCGCAGGTGAGAGTGTGCCTCCCAAGCGTGAGCTCCGCTGGAAATTCGAGGATGAGGACATGCTTCAAGCAGACGAAATGTCCTTGGAGCTCCTCACGCTGCGCAGCTTCATGCCCACAGACGGGGAGCGAATCTACTTCCAGTTGCGCTTTTTCCAGTTTCCACCGGTGAGGACGGTACCAGCAGCATTGTCTGGCAAGCCAGGGGAAGCCTGCCTCTTGCGAAGTGCCGTCACCAACGAGCGGCTTGCCATGGTCTTTCACATGGACGGCTATGTGAACGGCTCGGTGGCCACTTCCGCAGCATCCGTGCATCGTCACTTGGTGAATTATCTCAGTGCCCGCAGTGCGGACATCGAGATTTGGAGCGCCGAATCTGGCATGCATATCGGGTCGACATCAGTACCTCTTGAGATGTTGGTCAGGCAAGGACATCAAGTTGCGAAGGTGGAGGCTGAATACGCGGTTCTGGAGCCTTTGTCAGGCGAGCCCAAGGGAACGCTGCGGATGCTACTGGTAAATCGTGGCCGCACACCCACTCCGTACCAGCACTTAAACTCCAACAACCTCCCTTCACCACCTCCAGACGACAAAGGCCCTCAGCCACCCCCTGCACCTTCTCCTCCTCGTGGAAGGACCCGCCACAAAGTGTCAGCTCTGATCGAGCCTGGTTCAGAGCTTCATGGTGCACAAAACCTTACAGGCCAGGCCACCGTGGCTGAAGAGCTCAGCCAGCGGAAGCACGAGAGGCTAAAGCAGCTGCGCATGCTTCGCAAATCAGATATGCAAGCAGATCCTTTTTCCAACCACTCTGTGCTTCTGGCGGCAGCAGAGTCTGCCCGACAGGAGCGCAAGAAACAAGAGGTTGCGAGAAGGATGGACCGCTTCAACACGACACAGCAGTCTCTCACCGCGAGTTTTGCTACTCCTTCATATTTCTCAGTGGACTTCACCAATCCGTATGGGCAGCAGGCAGTCTTCTCGGTCCTGGTGACTGGGGAGAAGCCGCGAGCACCGGAAGTCTTGCCTGCCGTGCCCCCACAGCAGCCGCTACAGGGCGCCGGTGGCCCAGAGCAAAGACGTGTGGCACAGCTTCGGACTCGGTGGCGTGTGGCACTTCCGAGGTTCTCATGGAGATGCCCGAGCAGGCCTTGATGCTGGTCAAAGACCCAGAGGCACACAACACATGCGGACAGCAGGTGAAAGCCGGTGATTGTGGCTCAACCCAACAAGTCCTTCCTGCATCCGTCCGCCTGTAGAGGAATGGCGGCGGCTCGTGTCACTCGGCGTTGTGCCCACAGCACCATCAGGCAGACTTCCTTTGTCAATTAACTCCATGTTGCAAGTCCCCGTCCCGTTATCCGGCTTTGTTGTGTCTTGTTGATGTACTGCTACTTCGGTGGGCTTCTTTAAGGGTTCAGTTTACTATACCATTCGGCTGCACAGCTAGGTGCCCTGTAGCGCTGTCTCGGTACATGATCCAAAGTTTAGTGGTTGTTTACATGCCGAAGTGAAGAACATTGTCGGTACCTTCGCGTTCTTTCTGCATCATAGAAGGTTGTGACTGAGATAGGTGTTGGGCCAGCGCTCGGGGTTGCAGTGCAGGCGACTTTTCACGCTTGGCTGCGGGATCGTTCGTTCTCAACCCCAAGGAAAGCATCAGCAACTTGATCGCAGTTACATGCATTTACCTCTGTCTCTGCCCAGAGAGCCACGTTGCAGAGGCCTGCCCTTCCGTTATCTGGATTTCAACTTCCCGGGCGTCGACACGACAGCCCAGCTGGTGTGGCACCCGGAGAGGGCAGAGCATAGCCCTTCCAGATCCGCAGAGCGCCGAGCGGGCCGAGGCTCCTCCTAGCGGCCTCCGCTTGGCCGATGTGGCCGCGGTGGTGGCAGGGCCAAGCAGAAAGGATTTCCGGGTAGAGGCGCAGAGAGCGCGAAAGTTCAGCGTACTGCACCCCAAGTTCCAACTCTGAATCAAGAGGAATGACTCTGGATCTTACAGGGCTCCTATACAAAGATGTAGATGGAGCATTTTGGGTGCCGGGCTTGTGGAAAGAGGCCTCCCATGTAATTATGCTGTACTGTAAGGGCTCCGTTCTGCAGAGTTATAGCTAAACATAAGGAGACAGGGTACTTGACCGACTACTATGGCAAGCCAAATCCTGGCAGGCCTTCCCTCTCACAATTCGGTGACGCATTGAAGCCATGAGACTGACGTTGGCGTGTGGGCAGGTGGCTTTGGATCATGGTCCCGTGATGCGATGCGTGGAGGCAACACAAAGCCTGTGCCATTATGTGCCATTTTCCGGAGCTGTCGGCTTGCCTTCCGCATTTCTGCGCAGAGGTGTCGGTTGTTTCCCAGCCCACCTCAATCGACCGGACGGTGCGCTTCTTCGAGGCTCCATGTCAGCAGCCATCATGCAATCGCCAAGCTCATGCAAGTGTTGTGTTTGTGCTTTCTGCTTGGTTTTGATAGAGCTCTGCGGCTTTGTGTGTGCACAATGGAGAGGCTGAGGGCACCGCGGCCGAGAAGGCGAGACTCCTGAAACCGCCTCGCTTTGCTGGACCGGTGCAAGCTGCAAGGCAGTGGCACTGCCGCCGTCACCGGACCCGCTTGGATTCCAAGCAAGATGCACTGTCTGTGGCTTTGGGGCACTGGCGGTCCGAGGTCTGGTAGTTGTTACGTGTACTGCACCAACAGAGAGGCTCCCCGGCCCCAGAAGGTGCCGGAAGGAAGGGCAGGACACGACTGGCAGCCTTTCGCTGCACTCTGCGTGGCTGCTGTGAGGTTCATGTGCAGCGGAAGGAACAGGACCCGGACTCGTCACTAGCAGTGTGGCAAGTTCACACAGTCGTTGACAGCAAGGATGAGGTCTCCTTGCGCTTCATCGCTCCTCAATCACCCAACGTGCCCTACTCTCAGAGTGATATTAGCAGCATATTACTAGCCTCAAGCTGACAGCTCACAGCAACTTACTCGTATCAGCCACAAGGCCACAGCCAGATCTTGCCCAGAAGTGATTGGGAAAGCGAGTGATGGGTGACATTCGATCCCAGCTTCAGAGGTTGTCCTTCTTCCTGGTCTTTTACGCGGATCCGCATTTTAGCCAAGTTGCCTTGGCCTCCTTTGAGAGTCTGAGTTCGCCTCCGGTCATTGCCAATTTCCTGCTTAGGTGGCCATCCAACTGATCGATATCCAGGGCTTGCGCACTGAGCGGATCCGTCTCGCTGGAACCTTAGTAAATTGCAACGTCAAGCCGTTAAGCTTGGCTGGGCCATGCTGGGCCCTTAATTTGCACAGCTGCAGGTGGTGGGCCAAAGCGTCGAGCGTGCCATCTGCCACCACCCTGGAGTGAAGCATCTGCACTCACAGGGTAGGAATCGGGAGGAATGACGAATCCTGAATCTTTCAGCTCGTGTATTTACTTTGGCCTCGCATTGCCGGAAGAGTGTCTTGCGTCGAGGCCTGGCACCGGCTGAGGCCGCACGACACGTTTGCATCATGAATATTCTACCTTGCGACGTTTGCATCTCACGGCTTCGAAGTAAAACGCCGTAACGATCCCAAGTCTGGCTTCGAAGGGGTTGATGCCATTTTGTTCGGGATGCACTGTCTTGGCCGAGAGACTTGCTTTGGAGCGGCGACATCATCGAGAAGCAGAGAACGGACATCGAGGAAAGCAAGAGCTGCTTGCAACTTGCAACGGTATGCACCGCAGCCCACGATCCGAGAGCTGGGCACCGGTCGCAGTTTGTAGTGAATGTGTTCTGGAGGATCATTCAACAATCGCGGACACATCTTCAGCACGCAGAAACATGCCTGATTTGCTCTCTGGATCCCGGCTTTCAAAACAGCGGTAGCATTTCGCCCGGACTGCTCCGAGCATGAATCATTTGATGCTAGGTAAGCTCTTCGCTCCCAACCCGCAATCGGGAGGTCCTGGATGCCGGAGCCGTGCGGTTGCATTCTTCAAACTCCGAGGCTATGTCGAGATGTCAGTACCAGGCCCTACCCGGCAGAATCCCGCAACCGCATCAATGAGGTCGTTGCTGTGCAGCACACAGCAGAGGCTTGCCGCGCTGCAACTGTCAAGTTTTGTGCTGAAGCAGCGACTCATGAAGAGATGGGAAGTTGGAAGCTAGGTGGATCCGCGCTATGGGGTGAAGTTCACAGTTCTGATCACGTCCATGCAGGCAGCCGGTCGGGCAGAGGGAGAGGGGTACATAGGGTAGGTTCCCTGGCTCCAAGAGCAGATGAAGGTTGGAAGTCGCGCCTGCCGCTTGCATGCTGTTGATCCTGCGATGCGGCGACTCGTTGCTGCCAGTCTCTCAGTCTCTCTCAGTGGATCTTAAGTGCTCATGTGAGAGTCAGCCTGCGCAAATCGGCCCGACGGGATGGTTGAGGCACTCCTTGTCGTGGTCGCAGCAGATCCTCCAGAAGTCAAGGCACCCGTGTCCAGAGTGCGAAGATGGCATCTCATCTATTCTTGTACCATTGATTGTGCAGATGGTGCACAGCATCACTCTGCCCGTTGGGAGCTTGGCATTCTGGTAGGCACTGATAGCCTGCAGGCCTCCAGAAGGTGCATCTTTGGAAGGTCCTAACCGCCGTCCGCAAGCGCCTCCTTTACAAGAACGAGGCACGGCGATGCTGTTTGACGTTGTAGACGTCCCTGCATCAAGCTCCACGCAGGCAGTCCGGCCAATCAAGTGCCCCCAGAAGCCCGGGCTTGTTTGGCATGACCAGGTTGGAGTTTTTTTGGTTCACCATTTTGCACGGGGCTCCTCGAAGGAATGTATAATTTCAAGTCGAATCCCATGATGTGCCTGTCATGACAACAACAGCTTCGTACAGCTTCCTTCCCGCTTTGAGGTGGGCACAATACCCCCGAAACCTTCGCAACTGTGCTCGTTGTGAATGCTCAGGTCATCGGGTACAACAGCCAAGGATGTGGGTTGTTGCATGAGCCATCACGGGTGCTCTGACTTTTCCTTCATGTCACGTTCTGCACACACCGCAGCATGTGATCCTTTCACGCCAAGAACTGCCTCAAAGAAGCTGCGGGTGGGGCAACGGACGTGGCCAACAACCATGCAGTCATGCGCAGGTACATCGTGCGATGTTCCGAACCAGCCCTGGTGACAGTGCAGCCGTGCCTTGAGCTGTCCAGCTGGCTCTGCCTGTGTCTGGTTTCGACTTTTTCAGCTTTTTTCAGGTCCCCAGAGCTGGTCATCAATTCACTGGACACGCGATGCATCGAACTCTTGTTCTCTTCTCAGCACTTCGGCTTGCTGCATCCACACTGCCGGGCACTTGCATAGAGACTCCTGTCCGAGGTTTCATGCCGTTCCTGCTACGCTGTCCTACAATGCGGAGGCTATGGGCATGATACATCCTGCGCACAGACTTTTGAGAACTTCTTCACTCGGCAGGTCTTCCTTTTCATTACTTCGGAAGTGGCTGCCTTGTTTTCGAGAGTGGTGTTGCGATGTGAGTTGCATGTCCGTCTGGCCTATATATCAAGACTCTGAAGCAACCTGCGATTATCAAACATCTGGACCCTTTTCACCCTAAGCAGCAAAGCATAGCAGCAACATATGTTTTGCTGGCAGCTCGGACTTACAAGAGAATGTCAGCACTTGATACAATCTTGTCCAAAGCAAGTGGCCCCGTCACTTTATCAAGGATCGTGCCATTCACGAGACTCGCATGCTGGAGCTTGCCTACACGTGAGACATGGCAGCCTGCATGGTCTCTGTACATCCAGTACAAATTCATAATTCTAGACTTGGACCAGTTGAATGAAGCTAGAGTGTTTTTGTGCAAAATTGCATTCAGTGTTGTCAAGTCGAACTGCACGGTGACATGTGCACAGTTGCACTGCGAGTGCTGCTGTGCCCAGCTAACGAAGTTGTCCTGGCCTACAAAGAGAGCCAGGGGACTTGTAGACTTCAGGAGAGGTTTGTTCGTGACGGCACTCGACCGCTCGACTGGCAAAAGCGGTCGAAATTGGGAGAGGGCGGCATGGACTTTTGCTGCTGACAGGCTTCGCATGTCTGCGGCTGTGCAGCTGTCGGCAGGCCCATGCACTGGTGACCGCAGCGCGAGGCTCCAGGCAGATGCTGAGCAGCCTCTTGGCAGCACGTTTCTGCCTGCAGTGCATGCTTCTCGGTCTGATTCTGCAAAGGTAATTCGCTGGCGGCATCGTAGCATGCTTAGCTACTGACTGCTTACCATCGTCCTGCTGAGACCTGTTCCGTTCATGGGCACTGAACGCTTCGCGCGGCCTTGGCACATGTGCCTGTTAGGCTAGGTGCGGACTATGCTGCGCCGCACACGCGATCTACAGCCGGCACCCCAGATATCGACAGAGGACTCCTGCCCCAAGGGTTTGCACGCGGTTCTTCGGTTCGGATGCGTCCAAATCCAGAGAGGACGCCGCCCAAAACAGGTAAACTCCAACTTTGGAAAACGCAGACGTTGCCAGAAACTAAAAACTTGAAATCCCAAGACAAGCGGGTCTCTGTGCGCCGTAGAGGACATTCCAGGAATTCACAGAGCCGAGTCTGGTGCACGCATGGTCTTTAAAAGCTCAGAGATGGCGCTGGAACTCAACGAAGCAAGCATCAGGATGCTTGGGGCTTTTGGTTGCCGTGCAGCAGGAAATCGGATGCAGGAGATTTCGCTTTGACAGAATCAAGCAATGACAAGAAGTGATCCATCAAAACTACCGAGTGCACCAGTCTTCCTGTATTGGCGTTAGGCAGGTCAACGACGAAGCATCGAACCAAAGTTCTATGTTTTTCTGCGCTGTCATCAAGTTGAAGTTGTCATGTTAGCAGTTGAGCTGTCCGGTTGTATCACATGTAGTATGCAATTCTTTCAGTCATGCGTTGCTTTTGCTGATGTCTCGTGGTTGCAACAACTACTTGCAAGGTTGAAGCTTGACTGGCATTCGTATTCAGATCTTGACACTCTGGAATCTCGTGTCAGCCGCCCGGACCACCTCCACCGCAGTTCCCGCGGGCCCCGGCCGGGGCCCCAGAGTTTTTCGGAAAGGCATATACAGAGGCTGCCTGTCAAAGTTCAGCTTACCCAGTCCCACACTCGTTGACTGTCGTCATGGCAATGACCCGGCCTGAATTAGTTTCTTCGCGTGAAGGCAAGGTGCAACTGCTGACCCGTGTTGTCGTCGCCGTTGGTTCTTCAAGATCGGGTTAGAGTCCTTGAAAGTGCGAGCTTGCAGGGCCATGACGGAAAAGCCTGCTTTTTGCAGGCGGCGCCGCCCAGCTATGGCACCCGAGCAGCGAGCACGGCATGGGCCTTAAAGTCGGTCATCGGGACGGCTCGTTGACGACTTTCAAGTTTTGGCGGCCAGGGCTTGCCAAGAAGACCGCTTAGAGCACCGGCCGGTGGGCGACAGATGTCCGCTAAAACGTCGGGAGCCCATCTCGGAACATGCATTTGTGCAAGAGTTTACGTTCCAAAACTCATTTGTCCTCGGGGAGTGTTGCGAGCTTGTCGCTGAATGTGCAGACGCTTGACCCGCAAGGGTGCATATTCGCCAGCTACGGTCAGAGCTGCATAATAATGATGAAAGGCGGCGAGGTGAATTCCGCCAAATTCCGCTGTCTGAATCCGAGGACAGGGCGCAGGCGGCTGCTACCCAAGGCGCGCCGCTTTGGCGGTTCTGCCCAAGGCTTTTGGTCCTTTTGGCATTCCCGATCAGATCAACCGAAGTGATCCTCTTGCGGATCCTCCAGCTCTGACGGAGTTCGATCTGCAGGCAGAGTCGCCATCAGTCGCATGAGTTTGCCTGGAACTGTGGACATCTGACCAGGCCGGCCTTTTGGATCTCGCCGCTCGTGGCTTCATCCCTCCGGCAGCGGACCTGACGCCGGCGATGGAGCGAGGCTCGAGTCGGAGTCACGGAGTCACGTGGCGAGTCTGACGGCCGGCACAACCGCAGGCATGCCGTGCCTCATGCAGCGGCCGGCTTTGGTCTACGACCAGGCGGGATGGCAAGGGCACTTGATAAAGGGCTATGATCCGGCCCGGGCGATTCGCGCTGAAGGCGCTGAAGGGGGAGCGGCATGACCTCAGAGCCGAGGACCTGGCCAAGGCCGATGCGGATGCGAGCCGCGAGTTTTGCGCACCGCAGCGGTTCGAGGTGAGGCTGGATCTGCGAGAACATGTCCTTCGGACTCTGGGGCCTCCAGAGGACCCCTTAAAGCAAGCGCCTGCAATTCCTACAAAAAGAAGGGGCACCATTCTGCACCTCAGGATCCACCCAGCTCAGAGTTTTCACAGGCCCGGCTTGCAAAATCTTGAGCCTTGGCAGCCTTGGCATTTGCCTTCCTTCCTTGTGCTTTGAGGCCCGTACTTCCCAGTTACCGCCTCTGCCGCTCTGCTGCAAGCAGGGCTCAGCCATGCTCAGCCCTTTCCCAAACTGCAAGCGACCCTTGGCTCTTCAGGCCCGCGCTTCCCGCCCCGCCTCAACCGGCGCCTGGATCTGTGGCAGAGGCCCAGAAGGGTCTCCCGGTGACACAGATCCTGGCCAAGCTCGAAAGACTCTGCTGCGAACACATAAAAACAGACGTGAGATATTCTTGCAACAATAGAAAAGGAGCTTTTGGAGAGCGGATTGCGAGGATGTGGAGAAACATTCGATCACAGAAATGTCTGGACCAGAGTGGCTCGATGTTAAGTTGGCAATCGTGGTGGGGTTTAGAGCTTAGGGTTCAGACCTGAGGCTGTCCCAGTTGCAAAAATTAGCATACTACTCGATTGGCCGGAGTTGAGGGTTGGGGTTAAACAAAGTTGCAACTGTTTGGACCAACAGTTGTAACTAGTTAGAACCCGAACCTGGAACCTGAGGTTGCAGGTTCGGGGTTGGCTCGAACTGGGTTGGGGTTGGGGTGAACCAGAACCCCAGACTGGAGTCGGGGTTAATGAGAGTACCGTCAGGATGCGGACTTCGCTTCTTGTGTCTGATATGAAGCAGATAAGCCGCCAGGGAAACAAAAGAATTCTCATGATTGCCGTCAGCCCACTGCGTGGTGTCCTGCAGTGTGCGAGTGGTGGCCGGCCGCGTTTGCATGATAAACGTATTGGCACTGAAGCAACTTATTGTGTAGCTACAGCATACAAAGGTACCTTCGCCCTGGCCCTAGCCCGTGCTGCCATCTTGTAGTCATGACAAAGTTTGGTCTTTCTGGTCATGGTTTTGATAAAGCTCTAGTAAGCGACCCCGGAAGAATCGGGAAAGTTGTGGCCCGATGCAAGAACGGCAAGGAGAAGTGGAACGCTGCTGGAAATGTCAGATCTGACGCAAACGTCCCTTTCATCCCTTCTCGGGTGGCGCTGGGATGTATTGGGAAGTTTACCGGCCCTGAAGAGCCAGAAACCTTCAACACAGGCTTGGATCGCAAGATGCGTTATGCAGAATTACCAGATACGGTTTAGAGGCCGCGGTCCGTGACAGCAATGCTTCAAGGTGCTCTGGCTATGTGGGTTCGTGTGAGCTACTTCGCAGAGGAATGTCGTCCCCGAAGTGACTCAAGCGCCGGGCGCTCCATAGGAAGAAACCCTAGGCCAAAAGGCTCGGAGATTCGGACGGGAAAGCAGCACACATGAGCTGACTTGAGTTTCCAGTCGCCCGAATAGGTGGTCAAACCTGGCAGCGAATCGAAGATATGTGCATTCGTGGAACAGCACATGATTCATGTCCGCGGAAGGCTTACGGAACTTTCTGTACCGAGCTGCTGGATGCAGCCGGAGACGACTCTGCAGTTCTGGAGGAGCTTGCAATGATTGGAAGTCGGAGCATTGCAGCTGGTGTCTTTGTGGTAGGCTGTCTCAGCATTGCCTGCCGGTCCAACGAAGGCGGGCCAATGCATCAGTCCTTTTGGACAATTTCTCGTTTCAGCCAGGCCGAAATCCAGGATGCAGCAGCATCACTTATAGCAGCGGCGTGGCGCATGGCAGCACAGCGAAGGAGGCAGAGTGAGCGGGTGGGAATTTTCAGTGCTGTACTCTGGCCTGATCTCCCGACACCGAGAAATTCACCCCCAAAGATTCACAAGAAGACTCGGCGAACATGGCATGCAGATGTAAGCGTTCTCAGGGATTTGCAGTGAAGCTTAGAGCTGACCATACTATGCTTCGGCTTCAACCTCCGAGCCGATTTGCTGTGGGCAAGCTTCATCTTGATATTTCTTCTTGACTCCGAACTTGAACGCCAAAGTGGTGTCGCCAAAAATGTTTAGTGGAGCGTCCAGCAGCTCGATGTTTTGAAGGCTCTGCACCTTGCCACCGGGTTCCTGACAAACACTTGAGCTGATAGGTATCTGGAGCTGCGGACCACGCACAGGGCAGCTCGTTGCATTCAATCTGTGGCAGCCTCGGAATTCGTGCAAGGAACTCTTCACAATTGATCTGGCTGAGATTTGGGACGGAGGGGAATGGTTGTGGCAGAAATCGGTCCTGCAGCAAGACTACTTCCAGGGAGGGGGAAAGGGGGAGTGACCGTGGATCGAAACAGGTGTCGGGCTTCCGGATAGAAATCTGTCGAGCCAAGCTTGACCATACTGACGAACGCCAACCAACCCTTGAGACCTCCTCCCATCGAACACCAATACCACAACAGCTTGCCAAAAAGGAGGACCCCCAATAGCTTGCTAGCACAGTCACACAGAAATCAAGAGTTCCGCATGATGACACCCAGGGCTGGCACACCTGCTTGGTGAGAAGCGCCACTCGGCAAGAGCTGATGCGGCGTGAGGACCCCAAGCAGCTGCATTCAGCGTCCGAAACCTGACCGTCACGCTCACTCTGCGAGGAGGAGGAGCGAAAGCTGCAAACAATGATGATGTATCAGATTGGTCAGGACTGGTTTCAGGCAAGGGGTCAATTGGCGCAAGACGGCAAGACAGGCTGTTCCCATCCGTTCCCTGCTTTTTGAGGCGAAAGCAATGCGCCGGGTCGAGGTTCACGCCCCTCGGATCACAGCTCATTGGAGTGAAGCCTCGGATTTTGCGGTATGCTACCGAGATCTGCTCCTTGAGCATCTCAGAGCATCGACGCCGGCGCATGGATGGCTACCAGGCCGGATCCGGCCGACGCCATGTCTTTTGCTGGCAAGCCCGCGTTGGGCCTTGTTCCAGGTCATGCAAGCTGCCCAGATCGCTCGCATCTTCCGCCTGGCAGATGCCAAACGGGACTTGCCAGAGCTCTGCAGAGCAGCTTTCCACGGGAAATACTTGAAGGGCTTCGGTCGAGTGAAGCATTTGCTGCAGGATATCATCTTAGTGGCTCCAAAGCACATTCACGAGGCGGCATCGACTGGCTGCTTGAATCATTCCCGACAGATGATGTGTCAGGATGTGCTGGACTATTACTCCAAGATCATGCAGTTTAGGGGCATACAGAATCCTCCTGGTCGATTTCAGGCAATACTTCTGTGCAGTGGGGAAGTTGCGCACATCGCCAACCTGAATTTTGGAGATTTTTTCCAGTTCTCGATCGTTCAAGCTCATGTCAGGTCGTGGTACCGGAAAACATCGACCTTAAGGACAAGATGTCTCTTACACAGGCCTGCTCCCGTCTTACTGCGCTGGTTCAACGTATCGAACATGGCAGGCCCTCCTGTGTTCGCCGAAGGCACATACCTCTACCGCTGCATCACGTGGTGTCATACGCTGGTAGTGCATGAGTTGCACAGCATCAAGCAATGAGCCGCGCTAGACGTCAAGACATAAGAGATTCAGAAGAGCTCTCTTCGAAAGTCTCACACGCCACCAGTCTGAACTTGCGGTTACAGGCGCTGAAGCGTGTCCGAAGACTGGTCAGCAACCGCATGGCGATGCTGATTCCGGAAGTGCTTGGCCTACTGAGCTGCCTGTATTTAATGCGAAGAGATGCGAGGACATTGGAGGCAGTCAAAGCCTGGCATAAGGCGGTCACTCATGTCGAGGCGAAGCTCAGTTGTGCTCTGAGGCAGGGCTCGGATTCCCGAGCTTTTCTGGTTTTGTCAGCGGCTTCACTTCATGACAAACTCCAAGAGTGCACAGCGGATTTGCAGAGCTATCTGCCAGGCTGCCTCTTATAGGCCCCAGCTCGAGGAACATGTCGCTCCTGGCATCGAAGTCCAATGCCAAGGCATGTGAAGCTCCAGCGGTCGTGAATGTGCCATAAGCCACCACCAGAATCATCGGTCTCGTGCTTGCAGAAGCTGATCCAGCTGGCCCAGCTGCCAGTGGGGCCGTGGGCGGTGGATATCTACGATGAGGACCCGACGCGAGCAGAGTTTGAATTATCGCAAGCTTCGTTATTGTGCTTTAACTTTGCACAGGATGAATTCTTCACCTGCCTTGCTGGGCTCGTGATCAAGCACCCAAAGGCCAACTGTCGGGTTTGATGTTCTGGCTGATCACATGTGTGAAGAGCATTTTTAATTTGATATGTTGGCAGACGTATGCCTAAGCCAACGTAGTGCGCATCTCATATGCGCTTGGCCGAAATTGAGGGCTGCCGCCGCTGCAGGTGAAAGGAAGGGGGGGTGGGCAACGGCGGGCTGCAGGGGCTCGGGGTCAGGGCGATGTGGCAGATGCAAAATAAGATGCACTCATACACGAACAAGATTTCAGAAGCCGCGGAGAAGGGGGTGGCCAGAGTCTCTGGGCACGGGAAAAGGGGGTCACTGGGCTGAAGGCGGGGCAACAAAAGGGAGGAAGCAGGAAACAGCAGCAAAAAGAAAGAGGCAGGGTAGCTGCGCAGCGAAAGGTGAGGTGAGTGGGCGGGGCGGGGTTCTTGGGGTGGGGCGAAGGGCAGAGGACTGTTACGAGTGGTTCTTTGGGAGTCGTATCGCGCGGCTTGGGGAAGCCTGAACCAAAGCATCATCGGTCGGACTCCGGTTGAACTTTGTGTTCTTTCTGCTTTACCGTCGTGCCTGGCCTTCGGCCCAGACGTCTATTGTCCTGCTTCCGATCTTCGTACCGAAGACCTACGAGTGCTAGGAGGATGTGTCACAGTGCACAGATGGTGCGGGGAATCACAGATCCGTCCTCCACGTCCACCTGCAGAGATATGGATTTGCGGGCTTTGTTGAGTGGAATTTGGGGATGCTAAACTTGCTCGTCCTGTCACTCTCCATGAAAATTCATGATGTGTTCCTTCTTGGTTGTGTGCTCCTCGCTTCTGTCCAGCGCGTGCTTGAGGTCAAGGTGTTCGCGGGGGGAGAATATGAAGGATAACTCTGCTCAGTCGCGCCTTCTTTTCTCTGGAGGTGCGGACGTGGCTTTTCAAGATCGACGACGAGAGGGGCTCCAGGGGCACAGCCTACATCGACCTCCACAAGCTGCACCAGGCCTTGGGCCAGGACCTCGAAGACTGGTCGCTGCCCAGCGATCCTGGCAGGTCCAGCAGAGCGTCAACGCTTCGGCACCGGCGCTTCTAGGCCTTGGGGTGGACTTTGCCGCGAAGGGCTTCTGTCGGTCCTGCCTGGGTCTTTGCTAGGTCAAGGCCCTGATGGTTTGGGCGACTTGGCAGCACCAGTGTATCACCAGGGTGGCGAAGTCAATCCGGGTGGGAGAGTTTCATTCAGGTGCCACGGCTGCCGAGGTTGAAGACTCAGATTGCTGTAGAACCGTTATCGATCGAAGGTGTCCTCGTGGATCCTCGTGGGCGGTTGCACACGGCCGAAAATGTCATGGCTTTGCGACTGCTACATCTCCGTTGTTTCAGGACGAGGAGCCTGCCATTATCGGTGCCGATGCCACTGAGGCCGAAACCTGGTAAAACGCAGGGCTCCCTGCTACTTGTGGTTTTGGGCAAATGATGAAGACATGTCAGGTTCGTGCCACGCTGCAGCATCACGTGCCGAAGAGGGCTGTCCTTTGTCATCGGCAGGCTTCTTGACTCACTTGACTTCTGTTTTTGATTGGGCTGCCCAGCAGCGTCCAATGACAACCATTCCCGGCTAACAGGATCGCTCTTAGCAGCTCCTAATAACGACGGCCAGGTGCCAATCGGCTGCGGTCGTGCCAGCATCGAGCGGGGGCAGAATCCTAGGAAAGCTGTCCACAACACACTTTTCGCAGCATTTCGATTGTTGACGAGAGACCACACGATTTCGGAGTTGTGCATTTGTCGTGTGCTGAACCACCGGAAGTATTCTAGGGAATCTTGCGGATGTGTCAAAAGATCGTTGAAATCGATAGTTTCCCTTCGGTGCGTGATGTCGGGCTCAATGCTGGCTGCGTCCGCAGATCGTGCTCTTGATTGGAGCCTCTTCAACTTGTGCAGAAGTCGCGATCTAGCAGCATGTGTCTCGACGATTTTTCAACGTTATGTTTACTGGCAAGTTTGCTGTCTGGGAATCCGACTGTCCGTCAGCTGTTAGAGACTGTACAACAGGTCGTGAATGGGTGAAGCATTGATGCCATGAAGCAGTCCTACCAGCTACAAGTTAATCAAGCGACCACCCAAACTTAATACACTGCCTCCTCGGAAGTACACACAAAAGATTGGTGCGAATCGGGAACCAACAACCCTGTGACAGCGGTGGCAAGAGCGGGCTTGCTGCCCAAGCAATCCCAAGCTCAGCTACAGGAACAGCAGCTTCTTTTGTGCGATTTGCTCCAATGTGGTCACCAAGAACACAATGGTACTGTACGAATTTACGAAATTACTGAACGAATTCCAAGCGCCTGCCAGCAGAGCAAAATGTGCTTCCGAATCTAGCAGCGCTGATGTCCGTTGGGTCGCACAGTGCACCTAGTGCAAGGTGTACGGAGACTTCGCCTCATGGCTAGCAGAAGCTTGCCATATTGGCTGCGTCATTCAGGCAGGAATGCGCAGCATATTGCAGCATTCTTGAAATCTCAGTGCTTTGGAGGTGTCGTGCCAGAGCTTTCCTCTGCCTCAGGCTGCGCCTGAGAACATGATCTCCCAGACCAGCGTGCGCGAAGCTCAGACTTAGCGTGCAAGACCTTCCACAGCGCTTCGTGAAAGACGGTGGTGCAACGCAAAAGATGTAATACAGATTTCCACATTGAACGTCGGGCTCGGGCGGTCTCGGATAAAACGAAGACTGATTCTAATGCTATGCAGCCCACCTGGGCTCGACAGTGGCGAGGGAAGCGGAGGAATGAATGGATTAAGATGGGAAGGAACGGGCCAGCCGGGTTGGGGGGTCGAAGCTGTGGCCAAAAAGCGAATGTCACCAAGCTTTTGAGCTGCAGGGAGGAGGATTAGGTGAGGGGAAGGGGCCTGTGAGGCGAGCGCAAGCAGTTCCGCAAAAGAACAAGGGGAGAGAGATAGGGAAG